TGGATGACCAACTCACACATGCAGATGACACACACATGTGGATGACCACTTCACACGTGGATGACTGACACCCACATGGACAGACACATGGGCAACTGACTCAGACACATGCAGATGACTGACACATGGACAAATGACTTGTGGATGACACATGTAAATGACTGACTCACACATGCAAACTGCCACATGCGGACGACTGACACACATGCACACAACTGACTCACACGTGGATGACCAACACATGCGGACATCTGACACATGGGGGACTGACTCACACATGCGGGGAACTGACTCACACATGGATGACTGACACACATGTGGACAACCAACACACACAGACCAACACACACCTGAACGACTGACTCTCGTATGTGGATGACACACTCACACACATGAATGACCGACTCACACGTGGATGACTGGCACGTAGACGACTGATACACATGCAGATGACTGACATGTGGATGGCTGACACATGGGTGACTGACATGCATGCGGACAACTAATGGGCAAGACTCACACATGTGGACTGACAAACACAGACACATGTGGATGACTGACATGTGGATGGCTGACACATGGGTGACTGACATGCATGCGGATGACTAATGAGCAAGACTCACTCACACTTGCGGACTGACAAACACAGACACATGTGGATGACTGACGTGGATGGCTGACACATGGGTGACTGACATGCATGTGGACGACTAATGAGGAAGACTCACTCACACTTGCGGACTGACAAACACAGACACGTGGATGACTGACATGTGGATGGTTGACACATGGGTGACTGACATGCATGCGGACGACTAATGAGCAAGACTCACACTTGCGGACTGACAAACACAGACACATGTGGATGGCTGACATGTGGAAGACTGACACATGTGGACAACGGACTCACACAGATGACAGATCCACACAGGTGAACAACTGACACATGTGGACGACTGACACATGGATGACTGACACGTACATGCAGACTTGTGGCAAAGGTACAAAGTCAATAATATGGAGAAAGAATGGTTTTCTCAACAAATGGCACTGAACTAGACATCTACAAGCAAAAAAGAAAAGAAAAGAAAAGGCCAGGTATGGTGGTTCGCGCCTGTAATTCCAGCACTTTGGGAGGCCAAGGTGGGCAGATCATGAGGTCAGGAGTTGGAGACCATCCTGGCCAACATGGCGAAACCCCATCTCTACTAAAAATACAAACATTAGCTGGGTGTAGTGGCATGCATCTGTAGTCCCAGCTACTCAGGAGGCTGAGGCAGGAGAATCGCTTGAACCTGGGAGGCAGAGGGTGCAGTGAGCCGAGGTCACACCACTGCACTACAGCTTGGCTACAGAGTGAGACTCCGTCTAAAAATGAACAGACAAACAAACAACAACAACAAAAAAAAACAAAAGAAAAGGAGGTTCAATCCATACCTCACACCATATACAAAAATTGACTATAATAAAACACAGACCTAAATGTTAACCCCCAAACCATAAAACTCATTATAAGAAAATGTGGGAGAATGTCTTTGGTTTCTCAGATTAGGCAATGATTTCTTTTCTTTTCTTTTGAGACGGAGTTTCGCTCTTGTTACCCAGGCTGGAGTGCAATGGCATGATCTTGGCTCACCACAACCTCCGCCTCCTGGGTTCAAGCAATTCTCCTGCCTCAGCCTCCCGAGTAGCTGGGACTACAGGCACGCGCCACCATGCCCAGCTAATTTTTGTATTTTTAGTAGAGATGGGGTTTCACCATGTTGACCAGAATGATCTCGATCTCTTGACCTCGTGATCCACCTGCCTCAGCCTCCCAAAGTGCTGGGATTACAGGCGTGAGCCATCGCGCCCGGCCGGCAATGATTTCTCAAACAGAATGCCAAAAGCAGGATCCAGTAAAATAAATAAATAAATAAATAAAAGTTGATAAACCAAACTTTATAAAAGCTTTTAAAATTCTGTACTTCCAAAGACAGCTCTGTAAAGCATACCTCTGTTAAAGGACTTGTATCCAGAACATACTCTTAAAACTGCAGAATTTTTAAAAATACCCAATAATAAACAAGAAAAAGATTTGAACAGACCTTTCATTAAAGAAGATATATGGATGGGCTTAACATTAACAGTCATTAGAGAAATGAAAATGAAACGGCTGAAAACTAAGACCACCACAAGATATCACTACACACCTAGTAAAATGGGTAAAATTTAAAGACTAACGATACTAAGTGTTGAGAAGGATGTGGAGGAACCAGGATTCTGAAATGGGTTGGCTCTGTGTCCCCACCCAAATCTCTTCTTGAATTGTAATCCCTACATGTCAAGGGAGGAACCTGATTGGATTATGGCGGTGGGTCCCGTGAGTGAGTTCTCACCAGAGCTGGTTTTAACGGGTGGTTCAACCCCCTCAGTCTCTCTCTCCTGCCACCATGTAAGATGGCCTTGCTTCTCCTTCACCTTCTGCCATAATTGTTAAGTTTCTTGAGGGCCCCCAGTCATGCTGAACTGTCAGTCAATTAAACCTCTAGTTTATAAATTACACTGTCTTAGGTTGAATCCTGATAGCAGTGTGAGAACGGATGAACGCACTCTCGTACACTAGAGATGGTACAATCACTTGGAAAGCAGTTTGGCAGCTGTTTTTTTTTTTTTTTTTTTTTTTTTTTTTTGAGAAAGAGTCTCTCTCTGTCATCCAGGCTGGGATGCAGTGGTGCAATCTCAGCTCACTGCAGCCTTGACCTCCTGGGCTCACCCTCCCAAGTAGCTGGGACCACAGGTGTGTATCACCATGCCAGGCTACTGGTGGTCTCTGAAAATGTTAAACACACACCTATCATATGAACTAGGAATTTAATAAAGAGAAATTAAGCCATGAGTATTCACAGCATCTCTATCAGTAACAACCAAAAATCAGAAACACCTAAGTGTCCACTGCCAGGTGAGAGGTAAACAAACGAACACAGGCACATGATGGGCACTTCAGGTGACAAAAAGGGGGATCTTGGCTTAAAGACACAAGGGAAAGCCACACACGGCGAGAGCCTTCTTCTATAAAACCAAGACATGCAGACCAGTCAATAGCCAACAACAGAAAGCCCAGCAGTGGGTGGCCGGGGTGGGCTGGGCACAGCCATGAAGTGTGGCGGAGCCTCTGGCCATGAGGGGGGATCGGGCTCACCTTCCGACAGCTGCAATGGCTTCTGGGTGAAAATTCACCCAAGTGTGTACTTTGAATATATGCAGTTTGCCTACTATACAGCAATAAAGGGGTTAAATTAATGAAGTGTTTTGTTGTACAAATCAGAGAATTGAAATCTAATCCATTCCTCCATTCTGGGGGAACAGCCACCAGCATTGGAGAGCTAACGGCCCTGACACCTGGACAGGCTACAAGCTGCCCAGGCACAGAGGCCGACCAGCCACACCAGTGCCACCTTCCCCACCACTCAGTCTCCAGGGGCGGTGGGTAAGGCGGCCCCACCTGGGGGTGGCCTCTGCCTCGTTCTCTGCCTTTGCTTCCCTCCTCTCTTCCTCCACGGTACCTGCCACAGCCTTCCGCCAACTCAGGGCTCCTCTCACTGTGATGCCATCGCCCTAACCCCCAGCAGGAAAGAACTCCGGTGGAATGAGGTAGAAACCCCCCAGTACAGCCGCAGAAGCCGCGGCAGCCCACGAAGGAGGCACGGTAGCCCAGGACCAGCTGCCTCGAAGAGGCCTGTGTGCCTGCAGGAAGGCAGTAGGCACCCACAGCCAGCGGTCTCGGTTTCTAGGTGGGAGGCAGGATCTGCTCACATGCAGGAAGGGGTTCCAAACGCAGACCTTCCCCCACTCCGCCACCAATAATGAATGGCAAGTGCCCGTGCCCACGCCACTCTCAGGCTGAGAGAGGCAACGTCAGCCCTCCCTCCTCAGATGCCAGGCTTCAGCACATTCCATACTTAACAGTGTGCTTTTAGAAATCATCTTATTCCGTGTCAAACCTCCTTTCTCATTATCAGTTTAAAGAGCTTATTTGCGGCTGGCCTTCGCATTGATGGCTTTTGGAGTGCTCTGTGAAGGCAGACACAGCTCCACGGCCTCAGTGAGGGAGGCAACCAGAGGAGCCCTCGTCCTCGCTATCCCTGTAGCATCTTCAGTCACAGCGTAGAAAACAATGGTATCATCAACTCTTCACTTTCCTTTCCTTTGCTTCAAAGAGAGAGCCAGAGGCCGGGCATGGTGGCTCACGCCTGTAATCCCAGCGTTTGGGAGACTGAGGCAGGTGGATCACCTGAGGTCAGGAGTTCAATACCAGCCTGACCAACATGGTGAAATCCCATCTCTACAAAACTACAAAAATTGTCCGGGCATGGTGGCGGGCACCTGTAATCCCAGCTACTTGAGAGGCTGAGGCAGGAGAATCCCTTGAACCCAGGAGGTGGAGGTTGCAGTGAGCTGAGATCAAGCCATTGCATTACAGCCTGGGCAACAGAGTGAGACTCTATCTCAAAAACCAAAAAACAAAAATTAGCTGGGCACAGTGGCATACACCTGCAATCCCCACTACCTGGGGGGCGGAAGCATTAGAATCACTTGAGCCCGGGAGGCAGAGGTTGCAGTGAGTCAAGAATGCGCCACTGCACCCTTAGCCTGGGTGACAGAGCGAGACTCCATCTAAAAAAAAAAAAAATGGGAGAGCCAGAGGTGCTGTGGCACCCACACGAGGTCAGCAGCCTCAGGCCCAGGCCAGGGCCCATGAAAAAGCAGGAGGGAGAGCAGGGCAGCGCGGTGCCCGTGGGACCCGCAGATCCCGCGAGGGTGGCCTCTGCTGGGACCTCACACCCTCCATCCGCATCCAGCACACGACCACCATGGCACACACTGGGCAATGCTGCCGACAGGAAGAGGTCAACAGCGCCACTGGGCGCTAGGGTTCTGCTTTTGAAAAAAGAACCTTCCAGAGGAGGCGGCCCCACCCCTCCAGGATGCTGCTCCTGGGGAGGGTGTGAGGAACTCACGTTGTCCCGGATGTTGATGTCGGAGCCCTTGGACAGCAGCAGCTTCACGAGGTCCACGTGCTTGTACTCTGTGGCCCAAATCATGGGCGTCCAGCCTCCATCATCCTGCCAGGGAAGAGAACAAGGCTGTCATCGCTCCAGAGACGGCAGCAACCAGAGGGATGAGGACCCTGCACCTCTGGGTCCCGCGCAGCGAGTGGAGATTGAATGAGCGCAGCGTCTCACTCGAGACCTGCAGTGCAGCTCCTGGAGGCCACAGTTGGTCAGGGCACAGCCCCAGGGAGCTCCAGGAATGCAGGGCAAAGGCCACCCTACTGGGCACCTGCCGCACTGTCGGCCCTGCGCCCTCTCAGTCGGGCAGCACTCACTGCGGATGCACCAACACAGCTGCGTGCACCCAGTCTAACGGCACACACGAGTCTAACGATACCTCGTAAGCCCGGGACCAGACCCGGAGCACACCAGCACCCAGGCTGGAGGGGAGCCTGGGCCGTAGCAGGTTTTGCTCCTTCAGGCTCCCATGGTGGCTCCACGCAGGAGAGCCAGGAACCCCATTAGAGCAGCAGCTGGGAACTGCAGGCAGGAGACAGACAGGAGGGTGGAGGGCCTGGGCTGGCTCCGTGTGTGGAAGAGGACACTGCGGAGGGCTGTAACTGGCTGTGTGTGTGGAAAAGGACACTGTGGAGGGCTGTAGCTGGCTGTGTGTGGAAGAGGACACTGTGGAGGGCTGGAGCCAGTTCTGTGTCTGGAAGAGGACGTCGTGGAGGGCCCGGACTGGCCCTTTGTGTGGAAGGGAACACTGTGGAGAACAGGGTGGGACCAGGAACTGTAGGAGAACAGTGGCTTTCCCTGGCCAGTCCGCCAGGTGGGCGTAGGGAGGGATGGCTGTACCTGGCAGTTGACGTCCATCTGTCCATTCGAAAGCAGGTACTGGACCACTTCGTAGTGGCCTTTCTTGGCAGCCAGGTGCAAACACGTGGAGCCCTCTGCATCCTGCAACAGAAATGCTACTGACTCAAGGAATCCATACCTGTGATTCTGATGTGCCAGCCCTAAGTACAGGATCAAGGAGAACCCTTGCCCACCAAGGGGGTATGGGACTATCCAGCAAAAGGACAAGGAAACCCAGGCTGAGGCAGTGGGGCCTTTTCCCAAGAGAACAGCCGAGATCCAAGCCGTGTGCAGCCCGGTGGCCCCATGAGTGGTCGGCCGCCAGCACAGTGAAGACAGCGTGAATGATTCCGTAATGGCTGTCTGTGTACCATGGAACTTAAAATGATAGACGGCAAGAAGCAGAAACACAAAGTGGGCCAGGCCCTCCCCGCAGCACCCACAAAACACCACAGGCTCTGCCCGCCTCTTGCTTCCTTTGCTGCTGGGCATATCTTTCTCTTCTCCTTTTTGAGATGGGGTCTTGCGGTATCACCCAGGCTGGAGTGCAGTGGTGCATCACAGCTCACTGCAGGCTCAAGCGATCCTCATGCCTCAGCCTCCCAAGTAGCTGGGACCACAGGTGTGCAATGCCTAGCTAATATGTTCTTCTTTCCTAGAGACAGGGTCTTGCTATACTGCCCAGGCTATTTGTGAACTCCTGGCCCCAAGCGATCGTGCCACCTCGATCTGGGAGTCACAGGCACCACAGCGGGGATTACAGTGCTAGGATTACAGGTGTGAGCCACCGTGCTTAGCTTGGGAGCACCTCATTTCCTTTCAGCTCTGTTTCCCCAAGGAGACTAAATAGATCACACCGACCAAACATCTCAAAGCAAAAACAGACATGCAAGGCTGGAGGTCAGACCCAGACCCAGGAAGCTCCGAGAGAGGCGGGGAGCCAGTGCCACCTGCACCGCAGCACCACCCGCGCGTCCTACACAGGGCTCTTCCTGCCTGCGCTCTCCGCACAGGCTCACACACGTTCCACCGCGTTCTCCCTTCAGCTGTTTGCTTGCTCCCCTGCTCCCGTCTCTGTGTCACCATGTTCCTTCCTGACCTTCCTCCCCTTATTTCCATGATCAGTGCCGCGGTCCTGGAGTTTAACACGTTCATCAGCTAGTGTTAATCAGCATACTCACCTTCCTCTAGGAAAGCCTGCACGCCCAATTCCTAAGCGACGGGTGTTCGGAACTGTAATTATTAAGACTACAAAAGCACATGTGGTTGTTAAAGGTCTGCCTTAATTTTTAAGTGTCTTTAATCGCTGGAATAAGCAGCTAACCATTCCCCCAACTGCTGGGAGACTGCCGCAGCATTCAGGACAGAAGCATATCCACCTGGCAGAGACCCTGCGCACCCTGGGCAAAGAGCGGGACTGGGTTCAGTGACAGCAGCTAGCTGTAAGGTCTGCAGGCACATAAACAAAAGCTCAAGACACTGGAGCCCACGCCTACCTAAGGGAAACCCCACACAGAGCCTGTCTAGTTTCTTTTCCTGCCTCCTCCCCAGAGGTAATCACTATCCTGAATTCATTACTTCTTGTTCCCATGAATCTCTTGATATCTTTACTATCTGTATCCATAAATGATGGTTTTACACTCTTTTAAATTATCTAGATCACAGTGTATATCATCTGAAAACACACCACGGACCTGCTTGGGCGGCCTGCAGCCCCCACACCCACCCCAACAGTGAGGACCCCGCCTGCAGCCCCCACGTGCCTGCACCCCAGTGAGGACCCTGCCTGCAGCCCCCACGCCCACCCCAGCAGTGAGGACCCTGCCTGCCACAGCCCCCTGCCTGCACCCCAGCAGTGAGGACACTGCTTGCAGCCTCCACGCCTGCACCCCAGCAGTGAGGACCCTGCCTACAGCCCCTGCGCCTGCACCCCAGCAGTGAGGACCCTGCCTGCAGCCCCTGCGCCTGCACCCCAGCAGTGAGGACCCTGCCTGCAGCCCCTGCGCCTGCACCCCAGCAGTGAGGACACTGCCTGCAGCCCCCGCGCCTGCATCCCAGCAGTGAGGACCCTGCCTGCAGCCCCCGCGCCTGCATCCCAGCAGTGAGGACCCTGCCTGCAGCCTCCATGTCTACACCCCAGCAGTGAGGACCCTGCCTGCAGCCCCCACGCCTGCACCCCGGCAGTGAGGACCCTACCTGCAGCCTCCATGCCTACACCCCAGCAGTGAGGACCCCTGCCTGCAGCCCCCACGCCTGCACCCCAGCAGTGAGGACCCTGCCTGCAGCCTCCACGCCTAAACCCCAGCAGTAAGGACCCTGCCTGCAGCCCCCACGCCCACCCCAGCAGTGAGGACCCTGCCTGACACAGACCCCGTGCCTGCACTCCAGCAGTGAGGACCCTGCCTGCTGCTCCTCGAACGGCCCTTGCCAGTCTTTTCCACCCGTGACATTGTGCAGATTTCAGTGACTGTTAAGACGGTCCCTTAGTCCTGGTTTTTCACTTGCTTCTTCTAGGTCATACGTACGTATTTCCTCTTCTGGGAATGCAATGTTTATGTTCTTTGCCCATTTTTCTGTGTGGTTTTATCTTATTTGTAGTTCTATTTTTGGGTATTAATCTTTTGCTCATGTGTTGTGAAATCTTCCCACAGTTTTTAGACTGCCTGTTCGTGTCCTTTGTGACCTTTGTTGAACAAAAATTCTTAAATTTTAATGCCCTTAACTTTCTTCATCTTTTTTGTGTCTTGTTTAAGAAATGCTTCCCGTGCTGGATTCACAAGGCGGCCTCCCTGTGGCCTTCTAGGCTTCATAACTTGCCTCCCGTTGGATTCTCGTGCTCACCATGTGCATGCGTCTCCAGCCTGGCTGGTGTCTTGCGTTTGAAGCAGGACGCAGCTGGTTCTCGCCATCTATGCTGTCAGACGAACTTCGGCCTTTTAAGAGAGTGAGTCTGCAGTGTAGTTACTGGCAGGGTGAGGTCTGGGTCCGTCACTCTGCTATCTGTTTTCTATTTATCCCATCTGGTTTATTCCCCTGCACTTTAGCTGCACAATTTTTCAGTATTACACTTTACTTCCTCTACTTCTTTTTTCCTGTAAGGCTGTATTTGTTTTATTTTCTTGGTACTTTCTCCACGGATTATAATATTCATCTGTACTGGTCTTCTTAGATTAACAGTTTACCACCTCCTACAGTAAAGTACTTTTACAGCAGTGTGATTCCACTCTCACACTGTCCTCCTTTGGGTACTTAGTATCCGATATTTCACAGCCGGTCTTCAAATAACATTGTTTCACTCAGTGTTGTTTTGTTATAACACTGATGAGGTAACAACAAACAAACAAAAACCATTCCCAGCTGGGGCCACTGTCTGTGGAGACTGTAGGTCCTCCCCACGTCTGTGTGGGTTTTCTCGGGGTACCTGAATTTCACTCACATCCCAAAGACCAGTGTGTTAGATGAATTGGCGTGTCTGTGCTGTCCCAGTCTGAGATGGTGTGTGTGTGCGTGTGTGCATGCCCTGCAATGGGGTGGCATCCTGGCCCAGGTTGCTTCCTGCCAGTGGACCTGAGTTGCCAGTATAGGCTCTGTTCACTCACAACCCTGACCTGGAATAACCGGGTAAATACTTACCTTATTTGTTTGTATTAATCTTTCTTAAATGCCCGAACCGCTCACATTATTTCAGTGTTTAATATTAGCAATACTTTGGTCTTGGCCACGCACAGTGGCTCAAGCCTGTAAGCACTTTGGGAGGCTAAGGTGAGCAGATCATGGGGTCAGGAGTTCAAGACCAGCCTGGCCAGGACGGTGAAACTCCATCTCTACTAAAAACACAAAAATTAGCCGAGCGTGGAGGCAGGCACATGTAATCCCAGCTACTCCGGAGGCTGAGGCAGATAATTAATTCAACCCAGGAGGCGGAGGTTGCAGTGAGCTGAGATTGCGCCACTGCACTACAGCCTGGGTGACAGAGTGAGACTACTCTCAAAAAAAAGAAAAGAAAAGAAAGAAATACTTTGGTCTAGATTTAGAAGTTTGCTGATGTTTCTGTGACCAGAAATACAGTGTAAGAACTTCGCTCTTGTTTACATCAATCAGTCTGGGAACTGGCATCACTGCTTGAAGAAGTCACATTTTCTAAGGACCTATCAACAGTATTGAGTGCAGACTTGCGGTGCTTCTAAGCATGTATAATCTCTACCTTATGACACTGTTTTAGTTTAAATGACATCTTACATTTTAGGAAATTTAAATAAGAAAACTCTTCCTATCTTCCATCTGGTGCTCCTCCTTCATTCCCAAAGGGCTGTTTTCCTCTTGGAAGCTTCAGGATTCTAAGCAAACTTATCTGCCTTTTTTTTTTTTTTTTTTTTTTTTTTTTAATACCTGAACTAAGGGTCTTATTTCACCCTCATTCTCTGAAGAATACTTCTACTGGATGCAGGATTCTGGGTTCACATTTTTGGCTTTGCTTCTTTCAGCACAATAAAACCTGCCTCCGTGGTTTCAGATGAGAAGTCAGTAATATTTCATGATGTCTGTCCAGATGTTACGTGCTGCTTTTCTCTAGCTTTTTTTCTTTGAGATGGGGGTCTCACTCTGTCACCCAGGCTGGAGTGCAGTGGCACCAATCAACTCACTGTAGCCTCAAACTCCTGGGTTCAAACAATGCTCCTACCTCAGCCTCCCAAGGGGCTATGACTACAGGCAAGGGCCACCATGCCCAGCTAATGTTTTATTTCTTACAGAGATGGGGTCTCACTGTGTTGTCCAAGCTGATCTCAGACTCCTCACGTCAAGCCATCCTTCTGCCTCAGCCTCCCAAAGTATTAGCATTATAGAAGCAAGCCACTGAACCTGGCCAAATGTTGGTATCTATTTTGTTCTAACACTTCTACAGCCAGAAATCTGTCCTAATGAAGCCAAATGTGCAAATATTTAACTATACAAATGTTTACTGAAGCATTGTTTATAATAAAAATTGAAGGCTGGGTGTGGTGGCTCACACCTGTAATCCCAGCACTTTGGGAGGTGGAGGCAGGCAGATCACAAGGTCAAGAGACCAAGACGAGCCTGGCCGACATGGTGAAACCCGGTCTCTACTAAAAGTACAAAAATTAGCTGGGTGTGGCGGCGTGCCCTGCAGTCCTACCCACTGGTAGGGAGGCTGAGGCAGGAGAATTGCTTGCACCCAGGAGGCAGAGGTTGCAGTGAACTTAGATTGCGCCACTGCACTCCTCCGGCGACACAGTGAGACTTGGTCTCAAAAACAAAAATTAAAAAATTAAAATAAAAATTGAAAATAAGAAATATTAAATATACAAATTTGATTAAAAGTAAAAAATTGTATCATAAATCAATATAGCCATTTAAGGAATGTTTTACAGAATAATATTTAATAACAGAAAATAGTGAAGGTTTAACGTGATATGAGGCAGGAGTTGAATTACTATGAGTGTGATCACTTTTTTGTTGGAAAAAATAGGTATTAAATGAAAAGACTAAGAATTTTAACTTTTGTGTTATGGTAATATGTAACAAAATTTGCCATTCTGAAGCACACGGTTTCGTGGCATTCAACACATTCACAACATTGTACAACCATCACGACTATTTCCAAAACTTTTCATTCCCCCAAAACAAAGCTCTGCAATCGTTAAGCAGTAACATCCCGGGCCCCAGGTTATCTCCAGTCTACTTTCTGTCTCTCTGAGCCTGATACTCTAGATGCTTCCATCGCCCAAATTGTACAGCGTTTGTTCTTGTGTCTGGTGGATTCTCTCCCTCAACACAGTGTTCTCAAGGTCCATCTGGGCTCCTCCTAGGTCAGAATCTGATTATTTTCTATGGCTGAGTAACATCCCATCATACGGATGGACCAGATGTGCCGATGCATTCATCTGCTGAGACGTCTGGGTTGTTTCTCTTCTGAAGAGTGCTGTATGAAGACCTGTTTGTGTTCCTGGTTTCCATTTCTGTGGTATGCACTCAGGAGTGGAATTGCTACAGGGTAATCCTGTAATCCTGTGCTAAACGATTTGGGGAACCACCAGACTGGCTTCCACAATGGCTGCCGCGTTTTACATCTCCACCAGCAATGCGTGAGAGTTCCGATTTTGCCACATCCTCTGAGGTGCCATCTCAGCGTGGCTCTGATTTGGACTCCCTGGTGGCTGGTGACGCTGGACACCTTTTCATGTGGTAAGTGGCCCCTGTGGGCCTTCCTTAGAAAGATGGCTATTCAAGCCCTTTCTTTGCCCATTTCTGAACTGGGTTTTTGATTTTCTTCTGTTGTTGAGATGTACAATCTAGACTGCAGTGAGGGAGATGCTCTGTCAACTGTGAAACCCCAACCTAGAAGCAGGTCGCCTACAGATGATTTGGTGGCAGGTTCCCAACTCACCTGCGCTGTGACAGGCAAGGGGCACTGTGATGGGCGAGGGGGCGCCGTGACGGGTGAGGCGGCACCGTGACAGGCAAGGGGCACCGTGATGGGCGAGGGGGCACCGTGACGGGCAAGGGATGCTGTGACGGGCGAGGGGGCACTGTGACGGGCGAGGGGGCGCTGTGACGGGCGAGGGGCACTGTGACGGGTGAGGTGGGGCTGCCTTTCTGGCCGCATATCATTTTCCATGGCCAGAAGTTTTAAATTTTAATCAAGTTTATCTTTCTTTGATTATGCTTTTGGTATCATATCCAAGAAATCACTGCCAAATCCAATGTCACAAAGCTTCCCCCCCCATGTCTTCTTCTAAGAGTCTTCTGGTTTTAGCACTTAAGTACGGGCCTTTCCATCCATTTCCTTTCTCTTTTCCTTGAAACAGAGTTTTACTCTTGTTGCCCAGGCTGGAGTGTCATGGCGTGATCTCGGCTCACTGCAACCTCTGCCTCCCAGGTTCAAGCGATTCTCCTGCCTCAGCCTCCCGAGTAGCTGGAATTACAGGCACTCACCACCATGCCCAGCTAATTTTTGTATTTTTAGTAGAGATGGGGTTTCACCATGTTGGCCAGGCTGGTCTTGAACTCCTGACCTCAGGTGATCCACCTGCCTCGGGCTCCCAATGTGCAGGGATTACAGGCGTTGAGCCATGGCGCCTGCCTGCATTTTCCATTAATTTCTGAATACGGTGTGAGGTGAGGGTCCAACCTCATGCTTCTGCATGTGGGCATCCAACTGCCTCAGCACCATTTGTTGAAAATATTGTCTGTTTTCCACTGAATGGTCTTTGTAACCTTGACAAAAATCAGTGACTGTATATGCAACGGTTTATTTCTGGGCTTTTTACTTTAATCTGCTGGTCTCCATTTCTGTCTTTATGCCAGTCCCAAGTCCCACACTGCTTTCACTGCTGTGGCTGTATACAGTAAGTTCTAAAATCGGCAAGTATGAGTTCTCCAAGTCTGTTCTTTTTCAAAATTGTTTGGCTGCTCCAGGTCTCTTAAGATTCTGTATAAACTTTAGAGCTTTTCTATATCTGTAAAATAAAGCTGTTAGGGTCAGGCGTGGTGGCTCACGCCTGTAATCCCAGCACTTTGGGAGGCTGAGGCAGGTGGATCACCTGAGGTCAGGAGTTCAAGACCAGCCTGGGCAACATAGTGAAACCCCATCTTTACTAAAAATACCAAAAATTAACCAGGCGTGGTGGTGCAAGCCTGTAATCTTAGCTACAAGAGAGGCTGAGGCAGGAGAATCACTTGAACAGGGGAGGTGGAAGTTGCAGTGAGCTGAGATCGCGCCACTGCACTCCAGCCCGGGTGACAGAGACTGTCTCAAAAAAACAAAAAAGCTGTTAGGATTTTAGTCAGGGCTTCATGGACTCTGCAGACTGTGTTGGTGGAGCTGCGTTTTCACTGCATTAAGTCTTCTCATCTGTGAACACCGATGTCTTTCTCTTTACTTAGATCTTTAATTTCTTACCTGATAGTTTTCAACATGAGTCTTTTGGCTTCTTGGTTAAATTTACTCGTATTTTATTCTTTTTGATGCTACTGTAAATGAAACTTGTTTTATTTTCTTTTTTGAATACTTCATTGAAAGTAAAAGAAATGCAACTGATTTTTTGTGTTAATTTTTTATCCTATCTTGTTAAATTAGTTTTGTTAGCTAGCAATATTTTCGTGTCTTCTTTAGGGTTATCTGCATATAAGAACACATCATCTGTGAACAGAGACACTTTTACTTCTTCCTTTCCCATGTGAATACTTTTGACTTCTTTTTTTTTTTTTCCTGAGATGTACTCTTGCTATTGCTCAGGCTGGAGTGCAGTGGGTACAATCTCATCTCACTGCAAACTCCACCTCCTGGATTCAAGCGCTTCTCCCTGCCTCAGCCTCCCGAGTGGCTGGGACTACAGGTGCGTGCTACCACGCCCGGGGAATTTTTGTATTTTTAGTAGAGACGGGGTTTCACTGTGTTAGGATGGTGTCAACCCCCTGGCCTCGGCCTCCCAAAGTGCTGGAATGACAGGCCTGAGCCACTGCACCTGGCCCCTTTGACTTTTTTTCTTGCCTAATTGCTCTGGGTTGAAGACAGAGATAGACGAGTACACCATAAGGCAAACACCTTCTGCACAGCAAACCCCCCATTAGCTCATCCGTCTGCTGTCACGCTCTGTAGAGAGTGAGTGCTCACCAGTGTGTTTTAATAATAAATCAGGTAACCAAGTGAGGTGAAGGAACTATTTCTGGACAAATGGGTCAGTGTGTGAAGGCACCAAGTCCTGGAGACGTTTCTGTAAGGATGTCCCTTGCTCAGCTTTCTGAGGAACATCTACACACACACTAGGATGGTGATTCTCACAAGTGAACATACCTTGGGATCCACCAGGGCCCCGGCCTTGATGAGGTACTTCACTGCCTCCAGATGGTTGTTTTCGGCTGCTTCCATCAACGGGGTCCTCTGGTCTTCTGAGCAGGTGTCGATATTGGCGCCCGCCTAGTGAAACAACAGGTCAGGTGTATGGGAGGGCACGGGAGCTACCGCCTGGTGAAGAAATGCCTTACGGGCTTCCACCCTCGAAAAAAGATAGCTGCATCATTTCAGTGACCAATGTCTGAGTTTTCTAAACATGTATTCAAAGACAAAATTATTCTATCAAACCTTTAGTCTAAGCACAATATTTTTGCTAGATTTAATTCCACTTCTAAGGTAATTTGATAAAAAAATCTTTGCAGCACAGGAGTGTGACAACACCTTTAGAAATGAGGAGGATGGTGACAACCTTCTAAAGCAGACAAAGCAGGGGAGGGAGGGGGCCCTCAGCAGAGAGGAGGCAGGAGGGAGGTGCCGGCTCACCCTGCCAGGCCTGCAAAGCGCCCTCTTGCTGTTTTAGTACTTGCCAAGATAAACAGGGAAAAAAAAAAAAAAAAAACCGACTTCTAGTAGTATCTATTTTCATTTCTCCAGATAAACTGAGAGACTCCAAAGACTGCTTAACTGGCAGGCACACATTGGTAAATTTTTCTTTGTCTGAAACTTAAGAAGCCCCAACTTTAAAATTGGTTCTGTGCAAAAAGCAAATCAGCTGTTTAAACTTTTTTTCCATGAGGAAAAACTTCTTAGATGACAAAGACCTAGTATTTCATTTATAAAATGAACATTACGAAAAAAGGTTGAAAATAGTATTGTTTTACTATTAGTAATTAAAAAGCAAAAGTAACACAACTAAATAAGAAATGTTTAAACAGCCCTAGAATGCTCTATATGGAAAATGAAGCTAACTCGTAAAGGCTAAGAGGGGCAGAGGGGCCAGGTGTGGTGGCTCACACCTGTAATCCCAGCGTGTTTAGAGGCCAAGGCAGGTGGATCACTTGAGGTCAGGGGTTTGAGATCAGCCTGGTCAAAACAGTGACACCCCCACCCCCTGCCGGCCAATTAAAAATACAAAAATTGGCTGGGTGGGGTGGCAGGCACCTGTAGTCCCAGCTACTGGGGAGGCTGAAACAGGAGAGTTACTTGAACCCAGGAAGCAGAGGCTGCAGTGAGCCCAGATCGTGCCACTGCACTCTAGTCTAGGCAACAAGAACAAAACTCGGTTTCAAAAAAAAAGGCAAAAACAAAACAGAGGGGCAGAGAAAGGCTCAGGGGAATCTGACTAGAAGGAGCTGAGCTTCACCAAAGAGAACTCGGGATCCACAGAGCAAGGGTCAGAGGTCAAAAGGCTGAGGCCCGGAGGTGCACAGCAGGGCAGGGACCCACAGCTGACTTCAAAAACCAAACCTCAAAGTCAAGGTCCGGAGCCAAACCTGAAGGTAAAGTAGCACCAGAATTCTACAACAGCTAATTTTTAACACATAGTAGGCTTAAAAACACACACAAAATGGCCAGGCACGGTGGCTCACACCTGTAATCCCAACACTGGGAGGCTGAGGCGGGTAGATCACAAGGTCAGGAGTTCGAGAACACCCTGGCCAATATAGTGAAACCCCAACTCTACTAAAAAAAAAAAAAAAAATTAGCCGGGTGTGGTGGCGCACGCCTGTGACCCCAGCTACTCGGAGGCTGAGGTGGGAGATTGCTTGAGACCAGGAGGCAGAGGTTGCAGTGAGCCAAGATCGTGCCATTGCACTCCAGCCTGGGCGACAGAAAGTCAGTCTGAAAAAAAAACAAACAAACGCAACACACACACAAAACAAGGTAGAAAGCGAGGCCTGTGCTGTGCAGAGGAGCTGCGGCTCTGCCTGAACCCGCAGCATGCAGAGGCTCCTCCCTCAGCCCCCAAAAATCCTGGTGAAAGAACGAAGGGTGGGCCAGCACCAGGCCGGCAGTGCAGGCGGCAGCGCAGAGACCCAGGTCTGCAAGGGCAGGAGGGGCTGACAGCCTCCGGTGGAGCCTAGGGGAGGACGGAGGTCGTTCCCCAGGAAGGAGGGCGTGGGCAGCTCTCGGCAGCCCCTCGCAAACAAGAGCCTCTCACCCATTCCCGGAGCACGGAGCCCCCCCAGGCACACCTCGCACCCAGGACCCGGGTAATGAAGACACAGGGCACTGAGACAAAGTCCGAGAAACCTCTGGGACGGAAGAGAAGCGCAGAGCAAAAGGAAGAGTCGAAGTGCCAACAGCATTTCCAAACAGACCTACCAGCGCCAAGAAACGGGTCCCGCCCCACATCCAGCTCCATCCTGGACCCCACGGAACCGCCTCCCACGCTCTCCATAAACCCTTACTGCAAGCGGGGCGGCTGGCACTGACCAACCCCGCACAGCCTGGGGCTCCACGGCCAGCGGCTCACCCTCCGCAAGGGTCACGCACACCCCGCCATCGGCGGGAAGGGCCTCACCCACAGCCCAGCGCTGCCTGCGTTACCCATCGCGGTCCGCCTCCCAAGCACTGGCCCCGCAGCGACTCCCACTTGGAGCCCAGGAGGCACAGTCGCTCTCCCAGTCCCAGAGGTGAGGAGAGAGAACCTGCAGCTCAGCAATACCCCTATACCTGTAACCTCCAATACCTAAAAGCCCTCTACACCTGCAAGACCCCTACACCTGCGACCTCCCTACACCTGCAAGGCCCTCACACCTGCAACCTCCTTACTCATGCAAGATGCCCTAAACCTACAACCTCCCTACACACCTGCAAGTCCCCCTAAACTGCAAGACCCTTATACCTGCAACCTTCCAACATCTGCAAGGCCCTCTGCACCTGCAAGACCCCCTACACATGTGAGATGCCCTAAACCTGCAAGGCCCCTACACCTGCTGGGCTCTGACCGTCTCAGTGGTGCAGGCTGCACCCTCCTATAGGCAGAAACTGGCCCAGGTCACCCGTCAGCTCCAGGCCGTGTCCCCTTTTTCAGGGGAGATTCGGTCTGCCACCACCTTTCCTCTAATCCATGCTTTCTTGAGCGGGGTAGGCACAGGGTGGAGCCCAGGGGCCAGCAGGCACAGTCTCGAGCACCTGAGGTCAGGCGGCCCCACCCAAGCCGGCCCCAAGCCAAGAGCACCTCTGGTGGGCCGACATGAGCCTCACCCCAACTGAGGCACTGGCAGAACAGGATCTGCATGAAGCCTTTGCCAAGGCACTGAGACCCCACTGCGTGCTGCATGGCCAGCCCTACCAGCCACTCTGTCCCCACCACTGCCCAGCAAGGGCTTCAGCATCAAGTCCCTGCTAGGGTACTCCAGGGAGGGGTATCCTGGCCAGCGCTGGTGCCGCAGAGCCGGCTAGCTCCTCCAGGCAGGTACAGGGTGCAGTGGGGAGGAGGCAGTGCCCATCCCACCCCTACCCTCCTCTGATAGGCCTCTGTGGCCCCTCTGCCCCCTTCCTGGCCCCATGAGAATGGAGGGGGAGGCTTCCCAGGGGGCAACCATAGGGCCCTCGACCATCTCCCCAGAGCCTAGGGCTTGGTCTCTCCACTTAACTGCAGGGCACCTCAGTTCCCTGGGGCAGGGGGTGTTGCCCAGTGGGGGACACAAGGCATTATCTACACTCCCAATGTGGTAATGCCCTTGGCACCACCACCCACCTCCTGTCCCCAGTGTCCACCATCAACCAACCCTGCCTGCTGGGGGGTGGCCCCTGAAACTCAAGGGCCCCCAGGGCTGCTTTGGGATCTAGACGCCCTCTTCCAGGGGGTGCCACCCAACAAAAGCATCTATGATGTTCAGGTCAGCCGCCCTCGGGACCTGGCAGCCCCAGCCACAGGCTGGCTGATCTCCTGGTGCAGCCTGTGAGGCTCCTGAGGCAGGGGCGGCTCCTCCCTCCCACTCCCACCCCCAGCTTGTTGACAGGCAGCCAAGGGCAGGCGGGTATCTGTGACCACAGCAGCCTTGCAGCACCCCAGGCAGCAGCCTTGCTGGGAGTCCACGGTGTTTACTGGACTATTCCACATGTGGTTGTGGCCCAGCTGGGCGTGACCCTGGCCCTGGTCAGTCATGCCTCTGTTTCCCCTACACTCAGAGGTAAGGCTGGAGGGGCGGGGCTGAGCCTAGAATGGCCTTTCTTGGTCCCCTCTTCTCAGCCCACCATGCATCCATCCATCATCAGCTGTCTCCTAAGGGTAGAAGCAGCCTGGGAAGGAGGTAGCATCTTTTTGGGAAAAAGGGTTTGGGAACAAAGACTGGACCCTACGTGTCTTGGTGGGGGCGCTGGGGAGATGACAGTAAAGGAGTTTACAACTTTTTTTAAAATAAGAGATGACAGAAGATCAGACTGACATGAGTGCCCGTGGCGACTTCGATGGGACCACGTGGCACCTCGCTCAGTGCTCTCCAGAAACCGCAGACATGGCATGAGACCCTACAGCACAAGGTCCAGGGTGCTGAGGGGCAGCACAGGAGAGAAGGCAGCAGCACCCGGAGCTGGAGCAGACGGAGGCACGGCTCCCAACTCCACAGTCGGAAAACACAGATTAAGTCAGTGGGGAAAAGGCCCGGGGCGCAGGAGGCAGCTCAGACACCCAGGAGGCTACAGAAACTCAGAGCCCTGCCCCTGAGCCTGGGAGCCAGACCCACTGACGTCCCCAGCGCCGGCAAAAGGCTGGGGTGGACTCTAGGTCAGCTGCCAGGAAAGCACAAGGCGGTGACCCCTGACAGACATGGCTGCTGAGCCCTCAAAGTGAAGCTCATGTGACTGAGGGTGCGTCTTCATTTTTAATACGAGGAGTCACACATGGCAAAGTGCCTGTGCTGCGGTGGGGGCAGGGAGCCCTGGGGAGACTCAAACCTCTGGTTCCGGGGGACCCTCTCGCAGGGTGAGCACGAACCCCTCTGGTTCCGGGGGACCTTCTTGCAGGGTGAACATGAATCCTCTGGGTCCAGGGATCCTCTCACAGCGTTAACATGAACCCCTCTGGTTCCAGGGGACCTTCTCATAGGGTTAACATGAACCCCTCTTGTTCTGGGGACCTTCTCGCAGGGTGAACATGAACCCCTCTGGTTCCAGGGGACCTTATCGCAGGGTGAACATGAACCCCTCTGGTTCCAGGGGACCTTCTCGCAGGG